GCTTTCTTCTCAACATTTCTTTTTGTAAATTCCTTTGGATTTTGTTGCGATGATGATGATGATGATGATGATGATGTCAATGTAGTTGTGGCATACATATTGCCCTGATTCTTCTTTCTTCACATGGTATCTCCTAAACCTTGTAATGTTTTCTTGTATGTTTCGTATTCATCATTTCTCATGTAGGCCAGTGACTTCAGGGATCAGGTAGTAAGTGCCATTTATTGGAAACAGCATTGGAACTGGGAGTTAGTAAACCTTCATTCTCGTCCCAGTGGTGATGCTAACTATCTGTGTGACCCTGGACAAGTCAGTTAACTTCTCCAGGCTTCCATTTTCCCATGTAACATGAGGCAATTTGAATCTAAAGTACTGTCTAGGTCAATAAGTCTATTAAGTCTATCTTAAGCGTTAAAAGTAAAAGAACCTTTTGAGATCATATAGTTGTTGGCTTATTTTGTAGATGACATTGGGGCCATTTCAGAACAGACTTTCCAATAAAGGCCCTAACAAAGAAACTCAATTACAAGGTTCTAGAGAAAGAATGAATAATGAAAAAAGTCAAGGCATCAGGCAAAATTTTTGGCATCTAGAAGAGAATACAAGGTAAATTGAAATGTGTATATATATATATATATTTGTATATTTGTATACATATATGTGTATATCACTCAGTAATCTCTCTTCCTTTGAGGTTCATGCTATTCATATCTACTGTCCAATCAAAATTCTAGTGGCTCTAGTCTACCTCTCAAAGAGTTTGATACCTGGCTTTTAATTTTTCTATCTACCTCTACTCCTGCCTTTACACTAGGGGTCTTCAACATACAAATAGATTCTCTCTCAAATACCCTAAATACTTGGTTCCTAAACCTACTCACCTCCTATGAGTTATTCTTCTACCCCACCTCAGCCACACACAAAGATTGTCATATTCTTGATCTTGCCATTACCCACACAAAAATACCACCTCTATGTTCAAAATTTCCAAAATTACTTTACACAACCATAATCTGTTGGCTTTTCACCTCTTCCTCTGCCTTCTCTTACATAATCCTTTTCTTCATCTGCATCGTGATCTGTAATCTCTTGACCCTTCAGTTCTCTTCCAGGTCATATCTCCTGTACTAGCCAACCAATTCAACTCTATAATAACTTCTTTTGAATCACTAGCCCCCTTATCATATTGATGATTATGCCTAACCAAGATTCAGTTTTGCATCACTCTCATCATTTCATAACCCTAGGCCCTTCACATGTACTACTGAACAAAGGTGGAGAAAATCACACCACCATTCTGAGTGCACTACAAATTTATGTTGTACCATGTCAATTGGGCCCTCACTGCTGCTAGGCAATTCTACTATACCTCCTCTTACCAACACATTATCCCATTCTCCACAGAGGCTCTTCCAAACTTTTTCATCTCTCTTCAAACTTTATGTGGCTCTCCCTCTCCTTAGGCTCTCAGCTGAGAACCTTGCCTCATATTTTGTAGAAAAAAAAAATTAAAGCTATTCTCCATGAGCTCTCTCTTTTCCTCATGTCCTATCGCTCAAGAGCCTTCTGCTACTTTTTCCTCCTTCACCCCGATTTCATATGCTGAAGTGGCCTTATTTTCTCCTTGGCAGTGCTAACCCGTCTACTTGTTGAAGTGATCCCATTCCATCTCATCTCCTTTGTCTCCTTTGTATTCCCCACTCTTTCACTTATTTTCAGTCTCTTCCTATCTACTGGCTCATTTCCTACTGCTTACAAACAGGTCCCTGTCTCCCCTATCTTGAAACAAACAAACTCTTGCTTGATCCTTCCACTCCTTCCCGCCTCCCCCCCCAACAAATGTGGTCCTATATCTCTTCTGCTTTTTGTAACTAAACTCCTCAAAAAAGGCCTTTTACAATAGAGTGCCTCTACTTTCTCACTTCTCATTATCCTCTTAACCCCTTAAAGTCTGGTTTCTGATCTGACCAATTGACTAAAACTGCTTTCTCCAAAATCACTAATGATCTCAGCTGCGGAATCCAATAGTCTTTTCTCATCCACATTCTCCCTGACCTCAGTGCAGCCTTTTACACTACTAATCATTCCATCCTCCTTGATACTCTCTTTTTTCTAGGTTTTAGGGACACCGCTCTCTCCTGGTTTTCCTTCTACCTGTCTGACTGCTCTTTCTCTGACTCCTTTGCTAGATATTTCTCTAGATTACATACTCAAGCCAAAGGTGTGGCAAAGGGTTCTGTCCTGGGCCCTTTTCTTTTCTCCCTTTGTACTACTTCACTTGGTGATCTCATCAATTCTTGTGGATTTAATTACCATCTTTATGCTGAAGATTCTCAAATCTACCTCTCCTGCCTCAATCTCTTTGCTGACCTTCAGTCTCACATCTGCAACTGCCTTTCTGATATCTTGAACTGGATGTCCGGTAGACATCTTAAACTCATTAAGTCCAAAACAGAACTCATTATCTTTCCTCCTAAATCTAAACCATCCCCCACTCCTAACTTTACTATTACTGTAGAGGGCAACACCATACTTTTTGTCTCAGGCTCACAACCTATCCTGGATTTCTCACTATTTAGATCCAATCTGTTGCCAAGGCCTATTGATTTTGTGTTTTCAACATCTCTCGTATATGCCCCCTTCTCTCCTCTACCACTGCCTCCACTCTAGTGTAGATCTCCATCACCTCACACCCTAATTACTACAATAGTCTGCCTGCCCTCAGTCTCTTCCCACTCCAACCCATTCTCCATTAAGCCACTAAAATAATTTCCTAAAATGTAGGTCTGATCATGTTACCCTCCACCCCCTCCCCTACCACTGAGATCGTAATCTAGCTTCCTCATTTCTTTCCCGTCTTTTTACACCTTATTCTCTGACCCATATACTCTTTGATCCAGTGACACTGATCTATGAACATTCCATGTCTAGATCTCTAGGCTACAGGCATTTTCTCTGGCTGTCCCCCATGGCTAGAACATTTGCTTTTTTCCACTGTGACTACAGACTTCCCTGGCTTCCTTTAAGTCCCAATGTAAATCCTACCTTCTACAGGAAGATTTCCCTAACCCCTCAAATCCAGTGCCTTCCCTCTGTCATTTTTCTCCTGTCTATCCTGTATTAGCTTGCTTTGAATATATTTGTTTGTAGGTTGTTTCTCCCATTAGATTGTAAGCTCCTTGAGGACTGGGACTGTCTTTTGCTTCTTTTTGTATTACCATGGTTTAGCACAGTGCCGGCCACAAAGCAGGTGCTTAGTAAATGTTATTCATTGATTGATTAACTCAAAGGGAAGAGAGAGGAAAATAGCTGGGAGGGATGGATGGATCAAGTGGGTTTTTTGAGAAATGAGGCTGACATGGACATATTTATGGGCAGTAGGGATACAGACAGTAGACAGAGAGAGAGAGAGATTGAAGATAAATGGGAGTTGAGATTACAAAGGAGGCAAATCTGCTAGAGAAGACAGTATGGAACAGGATCTCAAGCCAGATTCATAAATGTTTACTTGTCCCTTGCTACTGTTCTTTCCCTATTCTGTGCTGGGGGATGAATGCTTATAAGCAAGTCAGTATCTACTGCTGAAACTACCTAACTGGAATAGCCTTGGAGTTGAGGGAGAATTTTTTTTTCCTTTGTGTCAAGAGGAAGGGAGGAGAGCATAAGTAATGAGAGAAAGAGAACTGAAGTAGAGATGAGGGAGGATGGGAATCTACTGGCAATCAGAAATATCATGGAGCTATAGCAGGGAATGGAGAGGATGGAGGCTAGGATTGCAGTTGTTTGTGAAAGTAGATGCTTGAGAAAGGTGAAGAAGGTTTGAAGTATCAGCAGCTGGGAATATTTGGGACTCAGACAGATGAATAATAGTATTGTGGATCAGTACTGACTACCAGGTTAAGTTAGACAGCAAGAAATTTGGGGGGGGCAGGCATGTGAAATTTCTCATTTTGTTAGTTAAATAAAGGTACATGTTTTAAAGGATTTAAAGTCAAGGTACCTGGGCTCAAATTTCACCTGTCACTACTATCTATGTGCCCTTGAGCAGGTCATGACCTCTCTCAGCCTTAATTTCCTCATCTGTAAAATGGCAACAGGCTAGGTCCTTTCCAGTTCTAAATCGATGGTGTTATGAAATAAAGATTATCAGTGTTTTTAGATAATTGTCTTCCAATCCAATACTCTATTTCTCTTTTCATTTTCTGCCTGACATGAGTTACTTCAAACAATGAAATTTCCTGCTGAGGTATTCCTACCTAAAAACAAACAAACAAACAAAACAAAACAAAACACATTAAGTTTGAGAATTTACTTAAACTGCAATTAATCACTCAATAATAACGTATTGGAGGAACTGTACTTTAATGCTTGGTTAGGGGTTAATTCAGAAACTGACATGCTTGAATAGGCAGCCCTGGTGGAATTTTATGTGTAGTCCAAATAGGCCTCAGGCAGCTTTTGACTTTGTAGAAACAGATTTAACTTTTTCCAAGGAATGATCTGATTAAAATCTGTTGATTAGATGAGAATTTTTCCTAAGGAGTGCCGGCAAACAAAATATCTTTTGTTACTAAAGAAAAGAAAAAGAAAAAGAAAAAGCTTTAACTCTCAATTATCTATGTATTATGGAGAATTATTTCCAGTCCTTCTTGCTCTGGCCACCCACTCAAATAGGCTTTACCTCTCCCTTTTCTTCTGCTGCTTCATAAGACCTTTGTTGTTTTCTCCAGATTTGCTTACTGTTTTTTCTGCTGCCTCAGGCCATTTTGCCCTCCACAAGCTATAGATGTGAAAGGCCAAGGAGGCAACTATTTGGGTTATGCACCCTCAATGCCTCTGTCTAATAAGTTAGTCAAGAAATATTGAGGGTCTGCATGGGGGGGGGGCACTTGTGTCAGAAGATGCATTTGTGGGAGATGCTGAAATAGGATAGTATGTGAAATTCATTTGGGAATCTAGAGTTGGTTTTTGTTTATTTTATTTGGTTTTTGTTTTGTCAGCAGACTGATCACTCATTACAAAGCCCCTGAAAGCTACCAACAAGGATTTCCTCTGCTTATAAATTCACAAATACCATTCTTGTGTCTACATTCTGGACCTGATTTTATCGGACAGGTACATAACTAACTTATTCCTGTTCCTTGTCAGGCAACGACTTCCTCATATGCTCTGTAAGTAGATCCCTGAGACAAATGGATCCCATCATAAAGGCAATGAGTTGTGCTGTTTCCCAAAACTAATTCTTTGAATGCTGATTTTCTTACTGTTGCCACCCTCTAATGAGGACTGCTCATTGCACAATCATTTGAAATATGAAAAGAATAGTTCTTACTTCCTGAGTCTTAGTTGGACTTTAACCTTTATGTTCAATGGATCTCCAGAAACCACTGAAGAAAAATCAGTTAACGCTTTATTAAGCATTTATTAAGTGTTCAAGGCATTGTGCTAGGTCCTGGGGATACAAAGATGGGTATATCATGGATGGCTTGCCCTTGAAGACCTCACAAAAAAATGAAAGTGAGATTGGTTAAATCTGCAGAGTTACCTACCTCAGCCAGTAAATCCAAATTCCAAGATGGAGCTGCCAAGGATGAAGCCAAACAGATGGAAAATTGAACAGTTTTGTTACCATTTTTATAAACTCCTATTTTCATTATTAGTCATAGTAGAACCACCACATTTTGGCTCTTAACATTTCAGTTCCAGCTGTACCATATAAAGAAATTAAAAAGTCATTTAAGAAGATGACTTGGGGAAGAAGAGCTGGGTTATATACCAAATACACCATGAGGAAATTTGTGCTGGAGGCCATGCAATCGTGAAATAATTGAGGGATTATTTTATAAGGTATCTCAGGGAATGGTCGGTTTCCAAGAAAATTATGAATGATATTAATCCTGGCTCTAGTACTTACTACCTATGTGACCTTGGGCACAAGTTGTTTAACCTCATTGGAACTCAGCTTCCTTCACTATAAAATTGGAAAAGGTGGACTAGGTGACCTATAAGGTACCTTCCAGCTCTAAAGCTTTGACCTTATGATCTAATAAGAAAAAGACATAATACAGAACTGTAATAAAAAGAAGGTTGTGATAATTGTGAAGAAAAGGAATTGGACAAGGTACTACGAGAAATTTGAGGTGAAACATGACTTTTCTTTGGAAATTAAGGGAGCTGGTGAGGAGTATTAGGGAAAGTTTTGTGGAAGACTTGGGCCTTGAAGGAATGGAGAGATTTCAATAGATGGAGATGAGAAACAAGTAGGGGAGTCCATTTCATCATAGGTGTGGGCAATAGTATGAACAAAGGTCTAGAGAAATGAAAAGACTGAATGACGATGGAGGACATATTTCAGTTTGCCTCAAATACAAAATCCAGAAAGAAGAGTATTTTGAGATTTCATTGGAAAGCTAGGTTGGGACCAGATTAAGGAGAGTCTTAATTACTAGCAACATGAAGAGTGTAAGCTTTATTTGAGAGGTAATGGGGATCCACAGAATAGAGGAAAGATGATCAGAGCTATGTATTAGGAAGATTTCCTTCTGGCAATAGTGTAAGCAGAGTTGTCAAAAATGCAGCCCTCAATATTCCTGAGTGCTGCCCAAATCAGATTAAACTATAATTGGGAAGTATTTAGCAAAAAAAGTAAAAATTAAATGGAACATTTTTCAATGTATTGCTTAGTTGTGCTGATTTTTTTCCTCTGTAAAAAAAAACACGATTTTTCATGGGTTGGCTCTCTGGAAGGGGGAGGGGTGAGATATATGGCATAAGTATGGTGATGCAAGAAACAGAAAATATCAATAAAAAGTTATTTGAAAAATAACTTATTTGTTTTATATAAAACAAAAATATAATAGAACATAAATAATGTTAATTTGTAGTTTTCTAGGTCAACATGTAACCTTTAAGGGATTGTTATGTATGGTTTAGTGGTTCCCTTTTCTGTTTGAATTTATCACCGTCAGTGTAAAGGGTGGGGATTGAAAGGTAGCCAGTTAGGCTATTAACAACAGTGTAGATGAGGGTCAACGCTAGGTCATCTACAGTGGCAGTAGAAAGGGAAGGATATGTATATGAAAGATACTGTGGAAGTATAATCATAGGATCGTGGATTATAATTTTAGAGCAAGAAGGGACTTTAGAGACCACTCTGTGTGGACTCCTCTAGTGGCAAAATTGAGACCCAAGTAGCATATGTGACTTGACCAAATGTTTTGTAGTTAGTAAAGCATCAATAGAACTTGGCAAATGATTGAAGGGAGAGTCAAGATATTATATAATATTATATCTTATCTTTTTAAATTTTATCTTTAATTTATGCAATAAAAAAAAATTTCCATAACATAGTGCAACAAAAAAGACTATTGTACATAAAATTGCAAATCTACTATGCACAACTTGCTATTCCTTTCAAATACACAACAAAATTATCATGCAATTTTTTCTTCTTTTTTTCTTCCCTCCCCCTTAACTTTTCTTAAATATAACTCCCAGCTCTAAAATTCCATGATCATATATATATATATATATATATCAATTATTCCAGTAATGTTAAATTTAAAAAGAAACAGCAGGCCACTAACCCATACATAGGTATCCCTGGGGACCACATATTGATACAGAAAACCACATATTAACATTATCTATGTTCTATTTTTATTTTATTAAATATTTGCAAATTACATTTTAATCTGATTCCAGAGACATGAGCAGTCAACAGCATTTGGCTCCTCTGATTTAACCTTCACTATCTCTACATACCTCTACTAAAATTTTCCTCCAATGGTTAATTATGGTATTGGAGGGATGACTGGTTTATCGAAGGAAATGCTAGCAAAGCATAAGCTCTAGCAGGTCTTGTCCAGCTGGGAAGATCTCAGGTATAGACCTAGTAAACTACTGTGCCTGCCATCTGAGGAGCAGTCTCCTTAAAGATGAAGAGGCTCTACCAGGTTGGTTAGCAAGGAGATGAGCTTTTGTAGTTATAGAAACTCTTGAAGATCATCTATGAAGGCAGAGGATGACAGCAGTCTGTATTGGTGGGGGAGTTCACACAAATGAAACCAGGGGTCCTGGCTTTTGTATTTGTAAGCTTAATTTTTTTCAATTAATAAGTATTTACAGTTGTTCCTTCCACATCAATACTTTCCCCATTGAGGTTTTGATATATTGCAGTTGGCGTAAGAAATCGAATGTGAATTTTTGGGGAGTTTTGCAGAAGCAACAGACAACACTGAAGGTCAGTAGATGACACAGAAAAAGTTTAGAAACTCAGAAATGCATAAAATATACATATAATATTGCTTAATATCAATATGCTTTATCTTTTAATACCATAATAATCCAGACTTCTCTGGTACAAAAGGAGGGCCAAAAAATTTTACTTGGATTTTCCAGACTGGGGGAGGGGAGCACCACATCCCTATACAAGGAAAACTGTATTTTCTTTCCTTGACCCAAACTAAAAAAGAAAAAAAGAAAAAGAAAAAAAGTAAAACTTTTGTAACAAATATGCAAAGTCAAATAGCTGGTGTTCATCATCTCTCTGTCAGGAGTTGGGTAGTATGCTTCTTCTTTCAACCTCTGGATTAATTATTTGTCACTCATTGTTCAGAGTTCTCAAATCATTCAAAGTTGTTTTTCTTGGTTATGCTATTCTTGGATAAATTGTTCTCCTGCTTGTGTTTTCTTCATGCTGCTTCATTTCAAAACATCTTTGTCTTCTCTTTTTACTCTGAAACTGTGTATTGCATAATTTCTTATGGTGCAATAATGTTCTATTGCATCCATATGCCAAATTTTTTTACCCATTCCCCACTAGTCATGTGCCCTTGGGCAAGTCACTTAACCATGTTTGCCTCAGTTTCTTCATCTATAAAACAAGTTGGAGAAGGAAATGTCAAACAACTACAGTATCTTTATCAAGTAATCCCCAAATAGGGTCACAGAGAATCAGACACAACTGAAAGGACTCAACAGCTGTATAAATTGCTCTCCTGGTTCTGCTCACTTCATTTGTAGCAGGCTCTTCAAAAAAATAATTTTATTGACATCTTTTTTTTTATCACCTTCATTTCCAAACATATCCCTTCCCAAATCACCAATTCATCCATTTTAACAACAGCAACTAAAAAAATGTTTAAAAAGTTGTCAATCCAAACTAGGAACATATCAACTAGGTCTGACAATATATTCAATGTTCAGCCCACATAGCCTCCCTCCTCTGCAAAGAAGGGAGATAGATGCATTTTCTCTACTCTTCTTTAAGGTCAAACTTGGGGTGTCATTATAATTCCACAATATTCAGTTCTGTCTTATCTGTAACCCTTTTCCCCTTATTTCCCAGACTTCACAATTTAACACACATCATTTCACAAGTACAGGTCTTCTCTCTTTAATTAAATAAGATCCTTGAGAGTAAGAATCCTCAGGTTCAAACTCTTGAGTCATTAATTCATCAAATATTTATTAAAAGCCTGTGGTTCTGTGGGATATAGACAAAAAAGACATTGCTCCTGCCTTCATAGAGCTTACATTTACTCCTTCTCATAACTTGTAAACCTCACACAGTCCTGGGCACATAGCAAGCATTTAAGAAACACTTACCAATTGATGGTGCCTTCCCATAACTTTTATAAACAGCGCTGAACAGAGCTGCATCTCTCCCTGAAATTCTTATCCACTTGATCATTATTCCTGCTCTTAAAAAGGCAGACTCTCTATCAAATGACTCAGTCAATAAGCCTTTCTTAAGTACCTACTAAGCAGTAGGCACTAGGGCTATGGAGTTAAAATGGGAACAGCTCCTCCCTTCATGGAGTTTACATAGTAAACAGAGAGACAGCATGGGCACAAATTAATATGTAAGAAATATAATATAGACAAAGCAGAAACAAACTGACCTTGATGGGTTGAGGAAGGCATTTATATGGAGAGGGGAAAGAGGCAGACAGAAAAGGCCTAAGAATATTCTATTAATAGAATATTAATAATATAATATTATAATAATATAATATAATATTAATCATCTAAGAATATTCTAAGAATATTGTAGCAGCTGTTTTATTGCTGTCCTCATTTTAGTAACAATTCATCTGCTTCAAAGGATAAAT